TTTTTGTTGTTTATTATTAGCAATGTTCTTCCGACGTCTGATTTCTTTTTAAAAAATGCGTTTCTAAAGTGCATAAACTTTTGGGATTGACTGTATAGCCAATACGTCCTTAATCGGGAAGAAAGCACGAGCTACATTTGTTTGACAGGCGGCCGCATCGGAGATTGGAAAGAACGAGCGTTTAACGTTCACCGTTTAGCAATATGCACAGTCGAACGACGCGATGCGACGGTGAAAGAATTCAAGCGAAACGCATCGTGAGTTGCCAACGACACGACGACGACAACGTCGGTGATATTAGCTCCGCGTGGTCGGGCTGGAAACCGCCGTGGGTGGATTAAACGCGATTCGACTGATTAAACACGATTTATATTGGCTGGTTAATAAGCGATGGCATTGAATATTTAAAGCGACTCATTAACTCGATTTCAATTGCGATGAAACAGTGTAGTTGGAGCCGCGTGATCGATCGACGTCGATTTCCTGCCATTTCGTTGCCTTTCTAACCGGAACAGCGTTTTTCCTATCTCTAAAACGTCGATACAGGCGTTCAGCCTACATCGCGAATAGGAGATAAAACGAATGATTATCGAATAGATTTTATCCTGACTTTACAAGACCGGGGAAGATACTCGTAATTTCGATTGTGGCCGTTCGCCGACAAGAAACGCAACGAAACAATTTTAGCAGCTCTCGTTTACAGCTGTTTTTTCAACAAAACTCAAACCCCCCCCCCCCCAGTAAACGGACGCAGGAGCGCGTGTTTCTCTAACTATTTGTTAAACAACTAGCTAACTGCTTTCACTCGGCCGTATTCTCTACTCTCGTTTTAACACGGATCTTCGCACCTTTCGAAAGCAGGCCCCCGTCCGCCCCACCAATTAGCCCCGGGAGCAGGCCGCCCCCTCCGCAGCTTTTGGATTTAAATCCCGGGTATTCAAAAAACCGTATTAGGATCCTGTTTGTCCCGGGGATTGAAAATTCACCGACTCATTGTCGACTGCAATCTAGAGTCGAATTGCACCCCGCCCCGTCTCCCTTCTAGTTCCCTGCACCCTGCCACGGGGTAATTTAACACGTAAGGGGATGACAACGGCCTCGAAGCCCGTGTCCTTCGAGCCTTCGAGGTCTCGTATAAGTGACGATCGTGTTACACCGGTCGGTAAACTCACCGGTCGAAAATCTTCGCTTTGCGAGAGTTCTCTTCGTTCTTTAGCCCCGTGATTGGTCTCGTTACTTCTGCCATCTTTCCCTCTCCCGCCCCCGGTTCCTCCACGATTTCGTACAAATCGAGAATGGACACACGATGCTGTTACAACGACACGCCTTGTCCAAGTGCCGGATATCGATCTGAACAAATAAAGAATTAAGCGATGTTCGATGAATTTCATGAACCTTGAAATCGACTGGCTGACTATGGACGCACTCTGGATGCTCCGCTAACTGACGCGGCTGTCAGGTACCTCTCTCTCTCTCTCTCTCTCTCTCTCTCTCTGCGGAAACCAGCCTGTCGCTGTCCGCCGACAAATCTCGTGATCGATTCAACCGCGGCATAGGAACAGGAAAATCGATTCCTCGAGAGAATACACGAGTTTTCGTAGAGCCACGGCGGCGTTCCACGGATCCGCGGTGTCCAAACCTCTACCGATGCGTCACGTGACAAAAAATCCGCAATTCCTAATGAACGTCGAACAGAAGGAGGATGACGGCCTCTAATAAATTAAATTCGGGGTACTTGCCGAGGGAAACTCGCGTGACCTGTGCTTAAACACACGAGTAGGAATACACGCGAGTCCGCGTACTTCACGTGATTCGCGATGAAACGCAATCGATAGCGGCGGCTTAATTGCTGTTGCGACCGCAGAAGGCGGCTCATTTGTATAAAGCTTCATCGTCCGGCTAATCGAGTTAATTAACAGACTGATAAAGCGCGAACGACTCTCCGCGACAGCTGCGACGTGAAATAAAAAAAAAGAATGGGGGACCAGACCGAGCCACGCAGATGACGCCCGGATCTTCGATGTAGCGAGCGACGCGGACAATTTATGGCAGCCATTATCGTGGACGCGATCCTTCCGTGACTATTATTACCTGGCTTCGCGCAGGAGCTCGACAATTACTCTAATGGAAGAACAATTTTTTGGAATATCTATCGAGACTCGTCTTTTCCGCGGCCACACCCTCTGCGCGTTACATCCTCGTTAAGCAACGGACAAACGTTGCAGCTCTTTTATCTTCCCCTTTCAAGGAAAACGACAATAGCGTGTAACTACTTATTTGATTGAATAGTTTTACTGGACAGTAGAGAACCCATTGAATCGCTCGTGTCAAGGGTTGGTACTCTGAACGTGTCTGTGTTCTTAAAAATCAGTCGATTTCCATTTGGTGGTTCGAACGTCGCACGGTGAAACCTGGATCCCGCAGGATTGGCGCCGCATTCGCTGCTACCTCTATACATATACATATGTGTACATGCCGAAAGAGAGGAACGAGGGAAAAGAGCTTGCAGGGCATGCTGCCGAATCGAATTGCTTTTTACGGCGGACGGTTTTACGGCCGCGAGATATCGAACGCGCGCCCGTGTAAGTATGTAAAATATATCCATAGAAGCTCGTCGTGTGGGGTAGATACAAGCGCGTGGTACACGTCGCGCGATACGTACGTGAGCATTTACACGAGCGCGTAAGGAAACGGTCGGTGCGTGTACGGATTCCCTCGTTGCCGTGTGTGTCCGTCGAGGTACGAGCATCGTGGGCACGTGATGCATACGAGCCGTGGGGCGCGGCATAAAAGAGCAAGCGAAAAAGGGAGCCTCTTTTTAATCTAGCGACGATTCGAAACCTCCTGCTCCTTTTATAGTTACGTGCTTAGTGCTTATACCCATTGACTCCCTCTCTTTGCTCTCTCGCACGAGCCGTCCGTCCTCGTTCCTCTCGTAAAGCTTTGTCGCCGTGTCAGCGCCTCAACGCTGAACGCGGCCGGGGCCCTCTCCTCTTCGCTTCTTCTCTTTCCTCTGCTCTTCTGTGAGCAAGGGCCTCGGATCAGTAGACCAACACATACGTTCTGTCGAGTAGTAGTAGTAGTAGTAGTGTGCGAGCACACCCGTCCGTTGTCCATGCTCGCCTCTTTCGCCGCGACCAACCGCGATTCTACTACTTGCTCGTACTTGCCCGATCTGTGGGCGTTACCCACAGACCGAACTTGACTTGGACATGAATTTCTCTGTGTCATATGAAGCTGCAGAGATAAAATCACGTCATCCCTGTAACGAGACTTCCCGGGAAAGCGACGTGTACGCACGCACATACACGGATGCGCGCAAGCCTGGTTGGATTCAACCGCATACGGTGGTCGTATCCTCATTCACGACGGCAATACACAAGGTCGAAACGCGTAATGCACAGAACGGCGGTAATCAACTGTTCCAACGAAATTTCAATCACAAGCCCAGCATACTTGCGGC